AAAACATTAAATTAATTAGTTTTCTCAATAAAATTAATGTGTTTTGTTATCATCTAACCTTAATTTTGTCGGTTTAAAAACCATAGACTACGTACGAGCTGTTTTTTTTACCGCAAAATGTATATTTAACACCTTTACTATAGGTATATATATACTCCCATTGTTTGACCTTTAAATTTACCGATTGTGGAAAAAAGCAGCTCTTAACATATTTTTGACTTTAAAAATGATAACATTAAATACACTTTATATAAAAACTATTAAATTTAATTGAAGAAATTAAATTTTATTGTTTTTTAAAAAACCACAAAAATGCAACTTAATAGACTTAATAGAAAAAATGTTTTTAAATTTTTAATAAAAGTAAAAACATTCTGTTTTTATTTTTATTTTTAACTGTTTACATACATTGACTGACAAATAGAACATGCAAGAACATACATCAATTGACAAATAGAATATGCGAGAAGTGGAATTAAGTGGAAAAGGTGAAGCAGGTAATCAATACTTTTTAAATTAGCAAAGTAGTAGCTAGTAGCCTGTAAATTATTGTAAAAACATTTAAACTTTGTTTACCTTTTGTAAAACAAACACAGTCAATCTCCTTTAAAGTAATTTTTGAATCATCAAGTGCCCTAATGATTACAATAATAAAAAAATCATATTAATATATTACATCAATAATATCATATATATATATATTTACTTTTTTAACATCTTCACTTCCAACAAGGCTGCAAGCAACCACTAGTTAGAGTTGGAAGTTACTGGAAGAGAAAAGATGAAGATTGTAGAGCAAGATAACAATTGACACACGACTTAAAGGATTACAAATTATATGAATCAGGAAAGTAAGATAAAGGAAGTGAATTCCAAAGAACTAATGTTCGAGGGAAAAAACTAGAGAAATAAGAGTTTTTAGAGAACTTAGGAACAGTCGCAGAAAACGATGAGACTTAATTGAATAGTGAGTAACACGAGAATGAAGCACGCTAGCTCTTTAGAACAGCGCCCATTATAGTATTTGTAGAAAAGAGAAAGAGAAGCAACATTATGACGATGTGATAATGGTTGGAGGTTGGCTGCAAGAGCAGGTCCAACTATGTTTACAATGCGTTTTTGCACTTTGTCTAAAAGAGAAAGGGCGTCATTAGAAGATCCACCCCAGATATGACAACAGTATTCCATACAAGGCCAGATTTGAGATTTATAGAGATAGAGAATAAAATCTGGAGTAAGAAAGTTTTGAGCTCAATAATGAGATGCAAACTTGGCAGATGCTAATTTTGCAATGGATTAGATATATGTTTTCCAAGAAAGATTAGAAGTAAGAGTTAATCTTTGAAGATGAAGGGTAGATGACTCATCAAGTATCAATGAATGGTAATATTCATAAATATAGAAAGATCTAAATTATTGTGATAACGGTTGCCTGAAAAAAATTGAGTTTTATCTGAATTAAAGTTCACCAGCCACTGTGAGTCCCACGCTGTAGCAGAAGTGAGATCCTTTTTAAGCTCAAATGCTCCCTCCAAGCAATTAGAGTGTTGGCTTCTTATCATGACGAGAATAAATGGTAGTATTATTAACAATGCCGCCTTAGATGTGAGAATTTCTGGAAGATCGTTAATGTAAATTTAAAAAAGTATAGAGCCAAGTATTGAACCTTGAGGAACCCCTGAAGTTACAGAATATGAAAAAGAGTACTGTCCATCGAGGAAAACTTTTATACAACAATTGGAAAAGAAGGATTCAATAATCTTAAAGATGTTACCAGATATACCTTAACAGGGCTTAATATTCATATTTGTTTAGTTAAAAGGAACACAGAAAAAAGATAGTTCTTTAAATGTCGATAGTAAAAAAGTACTGCAGATGGGTTTTCTTAGACTGAAAAAGTACTGCAGATGGGTTTTCTTAGACTAGAAAAAGTACTGCAGATGGGTTTTCTTAGACTGGCGTATTTGAGTTTTACCGAACGAATTATCCAATCGAAATATATGTTATGTTTTCCCAGTTTATTTTATTTTAGGCTAGTGAAGTTCTAGTTTTTTACTTAATATTCAGAATTTTTATCATCGTAGATCTTTTTATTTTAATTGAAATAGTTTAAAATCAATACTGCACACTTTTTTAGATAGACTTGAAGTTTTATTGAGTTTTTTTCTCTCTGAAACCTTGTTAGTTTACATTTAATTGCATTACCCATTTATAAAAGTTATGTAAATTTTTTTACTTAACAAAATATAATATGATAAGTGTTAATTTTGTGCATAAGCTCTACTTTTAGCGCCAAAAAGGTATTTATATGGCGTTCATGTAACTATTTTTATCAATAATAAAAACGGCAAGAAAACAAGTTTGTTACAGTAATATAGTATAATAATATATTAAATATATTAAATATTAAGATAAACATATTATTTTTAAACTTTATATAAAAAATTTAAACTTCTCTTTTACTTATTTAAAGGCGGTTAAATCAAATGCAATATAATACTTACAGGCTATTATTTAATTTAAAAATTCCATGCGCTGCATGTCATTAAAATTCGATCAATTCAACGAAGAAAATTTTATGAGTTCTACAAGTTATTATTTATCTACTTTTCAAAAAGGCACTCCTTCTTTGGCAGATAATTTTTATAAAGCTAGATCTTTTTAATCTTATATATATATATATATATATATATATATATATATATATATATATATATATATATATATATATATATATATATATATATATATATATATACATAATATAAATACAAATAAAGATATAGTTTAAAAAACGAATAATGATTAAAGAATCGGAAAACTCGAGTAGGACCAGTATGCCACCGAGAAACCGTTCAAGCTAAAATAGAATGACTTGGATGTTAATGTTAAAATGCATATCTTCCTAATGTTTTATTAAAAATATTTCATTGATGAGATCTCAGCCTCTAAAAAAACACATTTGTAAAATCTTTTATTATCAAATTTTTCAAACTGCCAGCTTTTCTTTGCTTTTCAGTGTCCACGGTGTTTGCAGTAGGGAGATTCCATGTGAAAACATCCAGGGCATGCAACCCTCAAAGTCTCAGATTTTGCTGATTTTTAAACCACTTAAAGATTTTAGTAAATTATGAACATCCTGAAAATTTTATTGTCTAATTTTCATTAGTTCCTAAGATATAGCTATTTTAAGTTTGCCTCCGACAAACAAAAATCCACCATTTTTAAAAATGGTTTTGGTCCTAGTTTCTGTTATATGTGTGTTGGAAAGCTGAAAATTTGTACCTTACATATTTTGGGCCAACAAATCCAATGAAACAACTTAAAATATTTTAAAAACAAGCATAACACCTAAAATTTGAACGTTTACCACAATTTTACTGGGGCGAGTTCAATCACAAAATTGCAGATGTAGCTCAATTTTTTTTTTTTAGAAGTTGTCCTGAATAGTTAAGCTATAGTTACTACAAAGAATTGGAAAGTGGTCTTTTCTAAAACAGAAATAAAAATATGGTCAAATCTATTTAAATTTATTGCTTAAAAAACAAGTATTTTGATAAATTAAACTATACAAAAAGATGTGATAATGTGACAGTTCTGTAGCTGAAACAGTTTTGGCTATATCGAAATGTTCTTTTAGATGTTGTTGAATTGCTGTTTCTATTTTTTTAGTAGTTTTATGATTTAGAAATGTTTATAAGGTTGTAAAATTAAAGTTAGAATGCTTACTAATTAAGTTAAAATTTCTAATCCTAAACAACCTTGACCCCATGAACACATTGAATGAATCATAGATTTTTCTTGCATCTTTTTTAGAAACAATAATAGTATATTGATAAAATGGAATCTTGTGGGTTTGAAGAAGTTTTAAAAGATGAATGTCACAAAATATGTTTTGTTCGAAAACAAGGATTAAAAGATTTTTGTAATCTAGAAAAGGACTTTCAAGATACTTATATTTGGAGGTCTGGTTTGCTTGAGACTATACCATACGAAGAGATAAAGTCTATTTGTTATCATCATGAGCAGGTTTTTGGACCGATATTTCTACTAAAGAATGATAAGTGTTGCGATTTTTTAAAAAGATACAAAAAGAAGGTTAAAGGAAATATATATTTTTTTTGATAATTCAAGGCCAAGAAGGCCACTACAGACAAGGAGGCTACTTATTTGTGGTTATAACCCTCTCTCGACTCTATAACTCTGAAACACGAACCTTGTCAAATAAGGCCGCTGTACGGAGAAACAAGTTGAGCGCAGTACTATCAGGGACATGGTGGGGATCGAACTCGGAACCTCTACCACCAGCGAGCGAGCTAGTGGTAGAGGCGAGCGCTCTACCACTACACAACTACCGCATATATATATATAATTATTTATTATATATTAACTTATGTATATATATATATATATATATATATATATATATATATTATATAAATTAATATAATATAATATAATATATATATATATATATATAAATATATATACATATATATATATATATATATATATATATATATATATTATATATATATATATATATATATATATATATATATATATATATATATATATATATATATATATATATATATATATATATATTTAGAAGCAGGGTATGTTTATTAAAAATTAATGATTTTATTTTAGGTCAAACAACCATCTCTTGAAATGGCTCATAACCTTAAATCCAAAAATCTAGACTGTAAACCAGGATGGAAATTTTGTCGCTCATGTATTCAGTTTTTGTCAAATAGTGATGAAGTTTCTGATAATGAAATGGATTGTGAAATTGATGGTGATGTATTATTTGTTAGAGATAAATCTTGTAATAAACAACAGTTAGACAACTCTTTAATATCAATTGAAGTCTCACCAATTAAAGTTCATGGTGTCACAAAGCATCAACAAGTTGTAACAGCAAAAAGAAAATTAGTCCAAGTTTACACAAAAATGGAAGAAGGTGTAGCAAGTGCTTATGGAGTAAATATAGATAACTTAAGTGTAGCCTCAACTTTTTCCAGTCATCCTATGGATAAAAAAAAAAGCAAATGATCTTGATCATTTGACAACTTTAGTGAATGAAAAACTTAAAGTTGAACCATTTAAAAAAAAAAATTCAAATATTAACACTTACACCTGAATCTTGGTCTAGAAAATACGCTTCAGAATATTTTGAAGTTTCTGAACATCTTATACGACGTGCTAGGAAACTTAAAAGTGAAAATGGAATTCTTGCTATACCTGATAAGAAAATATGCCAAAAAATACCTGACTTTCTTACAGCTTTAATTCAAGATTTTTTTCAACAAGATGAACATTCTAGAATTATGCCTGGTAAAAAAGATTGTGTTAAAGTTAAAAGTGGTCCTTCACAATAAAAAAGATTATAATTGTGCAACCTTCATGAGCTTTATATTGATTTTAAAAGTAAATATCCTAATTATAAAATAGGATTTTCAAAGTTTTGTAGTTTGCGTCCAAGTGTAATTAGTAATTAGTGTATTAGCGTGGGACCAAGTGGTACACACTGTGTATGTGTTTGTATTTACCATCAAAACTCAATATTGCTTGTAAATGCTGTCCAATGGAATGTTACATACAAAGATTTAATGTCAAAATTAGTATGCGA